TAAGAGTTGTCCTGTGCTGACACATAGAATTTAACTGTTAAGCTGAGATAAAATAAGGAAACGACTCAGGCCCCTCAACCCAGACCACAGAATTCAACATAACCCGACTCAGCTATTCACAGAGTGCTCAGATAGTTTTCTAACTGCCAGAATCCAACCCATACCCATGTAAGAAAAGGGCTAAACTCTGCCTTGTGAATAACATTTTTCAAGACCACTGAAGCAAAACGCTGACACAAGCTAAGACATCTGACCACAAAGAAAGCAGACCCATCCAAATCCAACTACCTCGGGCCAGAATAGACCCCTCAATGACCTTCCCCGGACTTTTTCATCATTACAATCTCATTTTAATGCTAAAAATGGTGCCCTGGGGTAGCAATTTAAGATTTAACATGGAAGAGATGTGGAAGGCACGAAAAGGCATGTAATAGAATTAAGCCCATGCAATAAATCTCCACCTCTGCCATACACGGCACCCTTTCCCACCTAAACCTCTTTAAAACTTTACAAGCTCCCCTGTAGAGTCACAGAGGACTTTTTCCTGGTGTTGTCGTCCTCCTATTCAAGCTTAAGCCCCAATAAAACCTTGCCTGGGGCTCCCATTTGGCTTCTGGTTAATTTCTGTTGCTTGGAGAGCCCAGGTGCCCACAAGGTAACAAAACATCCTTTGCACCAGAAACTTTTGTACCCCAAACTCAGCCCCTGAGCAACTTGGAATCCCAGCAAAGAGGTTTGTGGCAGGTTGGCTGGGATTCCTGCCAGCCTGAAATGAGAGCATTATACTGTTTTATGATGTGGTTTAATGAGAATCAGACCCCGTCCTACTATTTAGCAGATAGCCCAGGGCAGATGCTCCTGGCCCAGCCCCCACTGTCATCCTCCCACTGGGGAATGGACTTCCTCATCTCCATGCACAGCACTTCATCAATGTAGATGGTGTTCTCTTTGACCTGGATTTCCTCCTGCAAGGCCAGCTGTCGGCGATACAGCCCGTTCAGCTCCACCTGAGCTTGGGCCAAGGTTTCTTTTAATCTAGGAGAAGAAACAAACAGAAGGGAATGATTTCTCTCTCCACATTATGTCTTTTGGGGGGCAGGGGACAATAAATGCATCCAGGCCTTCAGTGTGGGAGCCAAATTGATATGTGCTCCCCCCCCACCTCTCTCTGCTTTAAGACAGAGATTTCAAATTGGTGGCCACCGGCCAGACTCATGACATAGACACCAATATGAAATGCCAATGTTTAAAACTGCAGATTTTTATCTAAACTTCTGGATTTGAGCGTCTCTAGAAACATTTCAACACTGGGATCCATTTCCTCTATGGCAACACTTTTGGTGGAGTTGGTGGAGATGGCCCTCTAGGAAGGAATTCCTCAAATATTACAGAGCAGGCTCCACCCCCTACAGTCACTGCCTAATCCCTGCTTGAGATCCTGTTGGGATGGGGCCACAGGCCCCTCTGCTCACCGGCCAATAGTCTACCTTGCAACATTGTGGGTGATCTCTTGAACCTCCTTGAGCAGCCTGTACTGTGCGACATCGCGACACAGCTCCACGTTAGGCCGATGTGTCCTGTTCTCCAGACGCGTATGGGCTACCTTGGCAGGCCCTTCTTGGTCAAGAATAGCTTTTTCAAGAGCTGTAATATTTTTCTCCTGAGCAGCAATCTCTTCCATGACCTTATAAGAAAGGATTAGAATGAGTGAGGCCAGGTTGAGCTCCTTAAAACTCATCTGCAGACAGCAGATCTGTATGGCCATGTAAATCAGGAAGAGAGAGACTCAGATTTCCACTTAGGCAGGACCCCAGAATGAGCCTAATCTCGCTTCCCCAAAGCAGTGATAGCAAGTGGGCAAGGCAACCCACCGAATCTTAGAACCGTATAGACGGAAGGGGCAGGACTGGCTATTATTGCCCCTTCTCCTATCCAAAGGAGAACGCCCTGAGCAAAGGCTTGGGCAGCGCATGGGGGTGGGGGGGTGTCTCACTGCTACAGGAGCAGAAAGCTGCCTAGGTCCCAGTCACTCCCACCCACTAGCACCAGGGGAAAGCGTGTGAGCAGTTCAATCTGAGTTTGGTTGGCATTTGCCAGGTAGCTCTGTGCACAAAGACTACTTAAAAACCTACTTGGGCTTTTTAAAAATTAATATTTAACTAGTTTTAAAACTTATTTCTTCCTTAAGCTTTTTCTTTTTTTTTTTTTAACTCTGTGTGCTGGAAATTTCCAAACATACACAAAACTAGGTGGAATAATGAATGTTATGTTCCCATCATTCATTGAAGCAGTGAGCTGACACACAACCAATCTTGCTTGTTTATACCCCACCCCAGCCCCAGCCCTGCCCATCAATGTGATTATTTTAAAGTAAATCCTAGATATTATGTCATTTCAGTCTTAAATACTTGAGTATGTGTTTTTAAGATATATTCTTTTTTTTCTTTTGACATAACTACAATACCTTCATCACACCAAAAAGAAATAGTGATTTCTTAATATCATCTAATATTTCATGTTCAGAGTTTACCACTTGTAACCATATATTTTTATAAGAGTTGGTTTGTTCCAATTAGAACCCAAACAAGGTCCACCCATTGCATTTGGCTTTCTTAAGTTTTCTCTTAATGATTCTTAAGATTTTCTTAAGTTCAGTTCACATATATACTATTTTTAAACTTAGCAAATACTAACAATCACTTTAAATTGATTTTGACTAATAGTTGCTCTCATTTCAAACTTAGTTATAATAAAACCCTTTGAACATGTATTTAAAGCAGTATTTATAAATTTGATACATAGCTTTTTTAAAAGACATGAGTTATCTTAACAAATCTTAAATTCTTAAATAAATTCTTAAATAAATCTTATTAATTTAATAAATTTTAAAAAAGACTCTTAAATTCACTTAAATATTCTTATGCTGTCTTTGAAGTTTCACTTAAAATCATAAGGCTACATAAATTATTTCATTATATATTTTAAATGATAATTTTTATAAAACAGGCCAAATTCTCTTAAATTTTATAAAC